TTTTTTTCATATCCATTRMATTGCATTGTTYGAATTGTAACAAATTTGWCATYTTTGAAAAGAAAGGATTTTCCCAGACTTGCCGATGTATTTTGCGTTTACGATAAATTCRCTATTTTCAAGTTTTATGTTTTGTGATTGTAATTTAGTGATTTTTAACCGTTCTTTTACTGCAGGCGAAAGACGCTCGTATCGTCATTGGTCTAATGTATGAAGATAGATTTAGAAAGACAATGTGTCACGTGAGTAAATGACTTTGAGTCACGTGATATTCACGTGATTCACATCCGGGGAATAGCTAGTAGGAATAAATTACAATTATAGCAACACAGAGAATTACAATTATAGAAACACAAGATAGATTTAGAAAGACAATGTGTCACGTGAGTAAATGCCTTTGAGTCACGTGATATTCACGTGATTCACATCCGGGGAATAGCTAGTAGGAATAAATTACAATTGTAGAAACACAGAGAAAACTGGGATAAAGAATAAGGTGACCATCTTTATTTTCGACGCTGCCTTGGAGATATCCACTGCATGATTTCATTTCATATGATTGAACGAAAACATTTGATAGCAAAATACATAAACTTATCGTAACTGAATTGTGCAAAATGCATGTGAAAGATTCCCCAGTGTCTCACTTGACTCTCTTTCAAGCAAAGGCTTGGCTACTTTTCAAGATGGCGMCAAAAATTGTACATTCTAAAAAATCTAATGTAATTCATCAAACCATTTTACTATTTCCACAATTAGGCCTATAATGAAGGTTTCTATGGTAAAAAGATTGTTTGGATGATCGTTGGTTGGTACAGCCCTGATTGGTGGAAAAGGACCGATGACGTCACATGTACGTCCGACGAATTAAAACTAGCGTCTAGTAATTTGATAGAAACGGCCCCGCTGGATATTACATCATCTTCAGAACCACTGCACAATCTTAAACAGGTAATTTGTGAAGYACAAGCAACCCATTCTGGTCAAGGTCTGCGCATGAATCTTATTCAATGTAAAAATTATCTCAAATAATATCTTAAATTTGCTTTCTAGAGCGCCAAGGACCTCATCAAAGAATTAAACAAATTAATGACATCAAACAACTTTTCAACAAACCTGTACACGTCGTTCACTTACGATGCTGTATGGACCATAGCACGCATGCTCAACAAGTCCATACCGCTGTTAGCAAAGCATAACAAGACTTTGGAATCATTGACGTACAAGGACCAAACGGCGGTTGATATATTTGTGAAGATACTGCATCAAACGGATTTTAATGGAATGTCGGTATGAATGTTGTTTTTTTTCTTGTTTTTTCATGTTTTCTTTTGAATTCTTTACGTTTTTGTAATACTGAATATAAATATAAAGTTTTTTTTGTACTTTTTTATCTTGCGGAAAATCCACAGTCGTTTCGGTCACTGATATCGTTTTTGTAATAAATTATAATTATAAATAATTTGTATTCTTAGGGTAGAGTTACATTCGATAAGTATGGAGACAGACAGACAGTCATTAAAATAGTTCAAAACAAAGGTGAGTGAACTGCTTGATGGACAGATGTCAATCACAAGAATCATCAACTGACTGCTTTACTATCTCACGGCGAGTTGAATGGGTTTTTTTGCTCTAACAGTGGGAAAAAAAGAATAAAATTTGATTATTTCTCACAGGAGGGAATAAAATAAACGTCGGATTCTACAATGTGCGAAGAGCTAAACTCAATCTCAGCGAACCAGGATTTGATTGGCCAGGTAAAGTAAGGGCGTCTGTATTAGATATAGTTTCATTTGTGCAATGAGTATCCTTCTTGCTAAAATCGTATTAAAACAAGAGCGACTAGCTCAAGGACCAAAATGTCCATAGAAATCGCCTTCTAAATGGCCTGGATAACAAAGTCAGTCAAAATAGTCGAGTTTCGCGATCTCTTTTACGCTGTGTTAGCCTCAATTGTGTGCTAAAATATTCAGAAATGTAGATAAAACTCGTGAGATTTCAAACTATTTCCATTGTCTTCTATACTCACAGATCTGGTTTTGGTTTTGAGGCTAACACAGCGTAAAAGAGATCGCTAAAAGGGTTTATTACGTGGCGACAATGGACCCTGGAATAGTTCCTAAATGTATACACCCTTAGACAGCGTGTTTTCACGTAAATCGAGTTATAAGCTCTAATCAAATGTCTCCACATTGCTAGCTTGTCCAAATTCATCATTATGTGTGATTTCAGATGGTGTCCCTCCAAAGGCAGAAACAACAACAAAAAACATGACGTACGCAGAGGAACCAGCTGTCACAATCACTTTCATTTCATTATCAAGTCTTGGAATTATATTCTG